CAGAGATTGCCTTTTAAGTCCATCCAAGATTGAGCACTTATATAAATAAGCTTTCAAAAAATTATTCATTTTGGCATGTGAGCCTAAATATAAGTTAAAAAGATGGATTAATATTTGACATCTCTAGGTATAGCAGAGTAAATTGAAACAGGATTGCCTTAAATGTATTTTATTGGTTTGCTCCAGAACTGAAATATACCTTTGTTGAAATATAAATTCTTTCACTTTTGTTACCTAGCATGATTCTTAGACTCAATTGTCTCATAGCTACAACTATTCACACAACTGTAACAATATTCCTTAGTCTACATTTTCAATTAACATTCCCCATCATTTTATTATAAATTTTTTCCCTTTTTTTTTTCTGGCAGGGTCTCATTCTGTCACAATGGCTAGAGTGCAGCAGCATCACCATAGCTCACTGCAACCTCAAATTCCTGGGCTCAAGCAATCCTCCTGCCTCAGTCTCCTGAGTAGCTGGGAATACAGGCACACATTCACCCTGCCTGGCTAATCTTTCTATTTTTTGTAGAGACAGGGTCTCGCTCTTGCTCAGGCTGGTCTTTGAACTCCTGACCTCAAGCAATCCTTCCACCACGGCCTCCCAAAGTGCTAAGATTATAAGCGTGAACCACCGTGCCTAGCCCCTCAATTCTTAATGTAACATTTTACAGTTTCACTACATTGTTTTTGTTTCCTTCTACTATCTACCTTAGATGACTTCGGAAGTAAAAAGTTATAACTCAATCTATCACTCAACAAAATTGTTCAGGATGCAAAATCAGAAACTGCAGCTTAAAATCCTTATTATCATATGGACTACATCTCTATCTTGTTATCCTTAAAAGTTACTGTCACTTTTAACCAATGCCACATTTTTACCATAGTCATAAAAGTATTTTATAAGAATTAAACTAGCAGTATCTCTTAGTAGGTCTGGAAAATTGTTATAGAAACAAAAACAGAAGGTAAAATGTTCATTCATTTAACTCTGTCCTTGAAGAAACTCAAATGAAATTATGGTTGAAGAAGTAATTGTTTGGTTAAACTCTAGTTTTCTTCTACTCTTGGAATAAGAGATATTTAGTGAAACCTGACAGTATACATTATATATGAATTATATATAACTCTCCCCCAAATCCATTCTTCCTTTAATGTCTCACTTGGTAAATAGCATTAGCATTTTAAAAAGTCTTAGAAATCTGAGTCCTCTTTGAGTTCTCCATCTCTCTTACTCACACCTAAACTTTTATCAATAAATTGCTACGTACTGGCAATTCTACCTCCTGAATAACTTTTACATCTTTTACATGATCACCATCTCACATCTCTTGTAGCTCACTACAAGAACCTCCAGCTTCCTAACTGTCCTCTCTAACTCCATTCTTACCCCTCTAAACCATTTTCCACACTGCAGCCAAGGTTTATAGATATTACCTGCCCTCCTCCCACCCCACAAAAATACTTTAACCCCTATGTTCCCCATTCTTCCATTCATTATCTCAAACCTTTCCAGATCTCCCATGTCCTCTCAAAGAAACCTGCATATCTTAACATTCATAACATTTGTAATTAATTACTTCTTGAATGGCAATGTTCCCTATTTGATTGTAAGCTTGGTGAGAAGAGAGACTATTTTGTATATTTCTGTGTGTCTACAGGACCTTAGAACAATACAGGCATTCACTAGTTCATGAATGAATGAAATTAGCTGCAATCTGAGCCCTAAATTTCCAAGCAGCCACTAGGAATACATTTACTTTACTATAAATAGAAAATACTGACTTAAAATCCATAAGGATACATTGAAATATAATAAAATATTAGGTCATTAAACATGAAATGTCAATTTCAAATGAAAAGTATAGTTTATTAATCTCAAACAAGAAGCAGTACAATTAATCAAAGTATGCACCTAAACTATCAACACAGTTTTGCTATCTTAACAGTAGCTTGTTTATGCCAGCAGCAAAGAAGCCTGGAGAGTGAGTGGCAATGAAATCATGAAAGGCATTTTCCACAGCTTGTTGAGAACTGAATATTTTTCCTTGCAAGAAGTGGTCCACAGCCTGGAAGAAGTGGTAGTCAGTTGGTGCAAGGTCTGGTAAACATGGTAGATGAAAGAGAGTTTCCAAGTCCAGCCTCTATAGTTTGAGCAGCATTAACTGTGGGACATGTGGTTGAGCCTTGCCTTGCAAGAGACCTGGCCTGTCTCTACTGACCAAACTTAGCTGGCTCAATTGCAAGCATCCTCATCATTTCATCCAACTGATTGCAGTAAATACCGCTGTAATAGACTGACCAGGTTGCATAAGCTGCAGTGGATGATACCAGCTCTAGACCACCAAACAGATACCATTAGCCTTTTTTTGATGAATATTCGGTTTTGGACTATGTTTCGGCACTTCAACATTATCCAACCCTTGTGCCAAATGCTTCCTATTGTCAAAAAGAATCCATTTTTCATCACATGGGACAATACGGTGTAGACATGGCTTGCCTTTGTGTCGTGACAGCAAAGAAAGGAAGGCTTCAAGACGGTTTCTCAAAGCTCATTTAATTCATGCGGTCCCCAGTTTCTTTACCTTGCCAATTTGTTTCAAATGGTCCAATATTGTTGGAATAGTAACATAGAACCTTGCTGCTAATTCACACATAGGTTGAGATGGATTCTCTTCCACTACAGCTTTCAGCTCATCATTATCCATCTTGGTCACAGGTTGCCCACGTGGCTCATTTGCAAGATCAAAATCACCGGAACAGAACTTCTCAAACCACTGACATCCTGTGTTTTCATTAGCCACATCCTTCCCAAACACTTTGTTGATATTTCGAGCTGTCTGCACAGCATTGGTTCTATGACAGAACTCATATTTGAAAATAACACAAATTTTTGACTTTCTATGGTTTCACAAAAACTGCTCTAAAAAAAAAAAAAGGTGAAAGATAATCAAAAGGCAAACCAGGCATTTGCAAGAAGAGGATGTACCTTCACAATAGAAATAAAACAAGAAGATGTCAGCGATACCAATGTCCTTATTACATAAGGAAATCAGACATTTCATACTGAATAAAATGAATGCAGTCTAGTTATAGAGCATATGTTTTTATTAAAAGTAAATGAAAAAAATAAAAATAAAAAATAAAAATAAATTATACCTGCATAAGTATAGGACTTAGGCATGTATTAAAGTTGGTGTCAACTTTCATATTTACCCAAAATTTGTTATTTGGCTTCAGCTATGTTTTGGGAAGCTAAACTGCCAAAAGCCTACTTTAACATCATTTATGGCACCCTTGAAATTATAGCTTTTGAATATAATCAAAAAACATATGTTTTTACATGATCTCATTTTAACTAACATGAAAATAACATACAAAGATTGTAATTCACATTTATTCATTTTCAAATGTAGGTAAGCATTCTAAATGGAACTTGAAGATCTCCTTAATATAATTTAAGCATTAAAATATATAAATGTGTTAAATATTCATGTTAAAATATAAAATTTCATATTTGACTATAAAGGTACATTATCACAGAAGTATTAATAGAATGCTGAACGAATTAAAGATTTTGAAAAATATTAATTTTATATACAAAAACGTTGAGAACAGTCAAATTAAACAGACTGTTTAATAGTAATAGGTACTGTGTTACTAATAGTATGCATATTACTTTTTTTTTTTTTTTTTTTTTGAGACAGAGTCTCACTGTGTTGCCCAGGCTAGAGTGCCATGGCGTCAGCCTAGCTCACAGCAACCTCAAACTCCTGGGCTCAAGCGATCCTCCTGCCTCAGCCTCCCGAGTAGCTGGGACTACAGGCATGTGCCACCATGCCCGGCTAATTTTTTCTATATATTTTTAGTTGTCTAATTAATTTCTTTATAATTTTAGTAGAGACGGGGTCTCGTTCTTGCTCAGGGTGGTTTCGAACTCCTGAGCTCAAACAATCCGCCCACCTCGGCCTCCCAGAGAGCTAGGATTACAGGCGTGAGCCACCGTGCCCGGCCTAGTATGCGTATTACTAACAGAATGCATCGACTATATAATTTTGGGAATATACTCTTTTTGTTCCATCAAATGCTCATAAAAATTTTAAGAAAACAGAATAATGAAATTAGAATTCTAATATTTGTACAAGTGTTCAGAGTATGAGCATTCACAACATTAAACAAAATAGTCTTTTAAGTTACTCATTTCTTTTCAGGCCATGGTTTTCCAGGAAAAGTTCTATATTTAGGAATAGAACTCATCTTGTGACCATGAATTAAAAACAATGTCAACTTTGCCTCAAAACTTCACAAAGAGGAAAAACTCCAAAATTATATAAAACAATGTCCATCAATAAATCATCTGACATATTAAAAAATACTAAGACTTCAAAGAAAAGGAAATTACAGAAAAATGAAGTGTCACCCAAAAATCTTGCTTGTCCACTGACCTCAAGTAAAAGTAAGCATATCTTAGTGTTGAAAGCATGAAAGCATCCAAAGAATAATGTGGTAGCAGATAATACTAAGAAACATTGTCCTTGTACTACATAAACATTTAAATTATAAATATTATTAATAATAATTGCATTTTCACATAAAATCAGTTCATTCTTATATCCCAGATGTTCATTATATGAGGGTGATATTCAGCTTCAGCCCAATATTAATTTTGATCTGCCACTCATTTATTTTCTTGACAACTCTGTGAAATACCATCACTATTTTATATGAGAAAACACACTTAGAGAGTTAGCACATTTCTAATGGCTACATGACAAATAAAAAGTAAGGCTTGTGTATCTCACTTATAAAAGTAATTTTGTACTTTTGAATCTGTTTCATATATTTCCTGGTCATTTACTACATCAGTAAGAAAGAGCCTATATCAATTTCATATACACATGCTATCTACCCATTCTTGCCTGTCTTTCCAAAAGTAGTGGGGATATGTGAAGTCAGAAATGAATAATCAAGTTCAAGAATACACACAAATTATATGTTTTCTAGGAACAAAGACGACAGAGTTTGGCAGATTTTAAATACATATACAATCCAAGTTCTCCTTTTTTGCAATATTTCTAAGTAAAATATAAACATAATCATATGTCATATGGGAAAACACAGAAAAAACAAGAAGGAATCAAACATTTTGTAGTAAATGAGAGAGGGAAGAACCTATTTTTACATTGTTCAAATTTGGAAGATGTTGAGTATGAATGCACAAAGGATTTTCCCAAATGGGTAAGGAAGATATGTGCTTTATATTTTTCTCTTATAAGCATATATTATGTAAATTAGATACTTTAAAATATGTTTTATTCAGATACTCCTGGCAAATGTATCATAAAAGTAATTCATGATTCTTGCTACAAAGATGAAATTAAAAACTCACCAAAATTAGGAAAATTACTAAAAGATAAAATGCAAATGCTAACTTCTCACTCAAAATAAACCCCCTCTCAAACTTCATTTTAACAACATCATTTCTCTTAGGTATCTAAAAAATTACTAAAAACAATCTCAAGGAAATTCTCTTTTTGTTCTTCAAATAATGCTAGCCACTTAACCAAAAAAAGTTCAATCATCTAAAGGCCATTAACATGCTTACATTTCTATTATTAAATCTATGCGGTGACTTACCAATTCTTGGGGTGGCAGTACTGTTCTGTTCTGCAGGAGACGAAGTACTAAATGCAGAAATTGGAATTTTCATCTGTATAGGACCTCGATTATTTGGTGGACTATAGAGTCCTGATGGACCCACTGTGGGTAAAGAAGTCCTTGTGGCTTGTACAATAGAGTGTGCTGTTGGAACAGCCTGTACAGCAAGTGTTGTTCCTAATGGTGCAGCACTGGCAGGAGGGTTCCTCTGAATACTAGGACTGGGCACAGAAGGAACATTGTTTGGTTTAGTGGGATTTGGCAAGGATGGCAAGGATACTGGATTTTTGGTAAGACCACTCACTGCAGGTGGGCTTTGCACAGAAATGAATTCAACATTGCCAGATGGTTGATTGGTCACCAAAGTCCCTGGATGGCTTTGTAGTAGCTGAGGCTGGGAGGATACCGCAACAGGTACGTGCAAAATCACTGGCAAAGGTTGTAAAGAGATTGTAGGTTGGGGATTTCCACTAGGCACCTGAGCAGTAGCAACTACTGTAGCTGTGTTGGGTGCAGGAAGAACTGTCGTCGTTGTCAGAGAACCCGAGGTCACTGGAGTCTGCAATTTAGGTTGACTACTGACAACTGTTGGAGGAGTGACAAGATTGGTTGAAGATACTATAGAAAAAAAACAGAAGTCTCAATTTACATGGCTATCTCAATTTATCAGCTAAGCTAATACACTGCATTAAGTACAGTAAAGTCTTTTATAATAAAATTTTTTCCAGATTTAAATTCTGGAAATTCTTAGAATTAAATTCCTAGAAGCATTTTGCTTTGGTATACTTGGTATATAACGAAAACCACATATGATTTATGATTACTATGGAAGATAGCTACCTGGGTATCAAAATAGTCTCTAAAATTTGTTATAATCCCTTCAGAGTAGCTAACTGGAAAAACAATTAAAATATACTGAAAACTAATTAAGTAAACATGTATAGATATTTTTGAAACTACACTAAAAACATTATAAATGCATTACAACACCAGCAATATATAAACTCAAATAGTAAATCTAGAAAGAATCAAGACCATTAATAAATAACAGGTAACCTTAATCATCATATTTTATCACCGAGACCATGTGAAACCTGTGCCTGTGGATGAGTTGTACTGAATTCTCCAGGAGAAGAACTACTGAGGGAAGCTTCCCTCTATTAACACTATCGACATTTTATGTTATGGACAACAGCACTGAGTGAAGATGGGAGATGAATTAAGAAATGAGGGGCCGGGCACGGTGGCTCACGCCTATAATCCTAGCACTCTGGGAGGTAGAAGCGGATGGATCGTTTGAGCTCAGGAGTTCAAGACCAGCCTGAGCAAGAGTGAGACCCCGTCTCTACTAAAAAAATAGAAAGAAATTAGCTGGACATCTAAAAATACATTTATAAAAAATTATCCGGGTATGGTGGCGCACACCTCTAGTCCCAGCTACTCGAGAGGCTGAGGCAGAAGGATTGCTTGAGCCCAGGAGTTTGAGGTTGCTGTGAGCTAGGCTGACGCCACGGCACTCTACTCTAGCCCAGGCAACAGAATGAGACTCTGTCTCAAAAAAAAAGAAATGAGGGAACATATACAAAAGAGCAGAGAAAATAGAAATGCTAGTCACTAGAGTTTTATAGCAATTTTGCTTCAACTATTTGTGTTTATTCTTATTGGAACAGTTTTGATATATAAGACCAAATTTTTTTCTCATTGTTTATAGTCAGTCTTTCCAAAATCACAGGCACACTAGAATAGTAATTCTCGAAATATGGTCCAGGGGGATGCTTAGAGTTTTCTGAGACCCTTTCAGGGAGTTTGCAATGTCAAAACTATTTTCATAACCATAATGACATCATCTGGCTTTTTCAATGAGTGGACATTTGTATGGAGCAAAAGCAACGGTGTGCAAAACTTCTGGTGCCTTAATCCAAAAATCAAGTTAGTGTAGTGACCAACTGTCACTGCATTCTTCATGCTTACAGTAAAAGACAAAGTCAGTTTCACTTAAGAATGTCCATAATGAAGCAGTAAAAACTATTAATTTTACTAAATCTCAAACCTTGAGTAAGAGTTCTTCTCAATATCCTGTGTGAACAAACAGGCAGTACTTAAAAAACACTACTGCTGCATACCAAAGCAGTAGTAGACTTTGCTTGGTTGATTCAAGGAAAAGTAATTGTGCAATTGAGTTGTAAGCTAAACTAGCAGCCTTTTTCAAGGTAGACTATTTTTACTTAAAAGAATGACTTACAGATGCACTGATTATTCCCATTTAAGTATTTTACAGATCTTTTCTTAAAAATAAAACGAGTAAGGCAGTCACTTCAAAGAAAAAAGCCAACAGTATTTATTGGCAATACTAAAATTTGAGCTTTAAAAACAAACATTAGAACTTTGGGAAAAACTTACATCTATCATTGGGAGTATGAAATGGCAGGTTCCTAAATCCCTAAAGAGTTTTCTGAGAAGAACTGATGGTGAAATTAATGTGACTGAAAAAAAATTATTAATGAAATGTATCAACATTTGGAAGATTTGCATAACTTAGTGAATATTTTTCAAATAATTAATGAATGATATTAGTGAAAGATCCACCCAAGTGCAAGGTAGGTGAGTGGATATTAATGGAAGAGTCAGAAAGGTTCATCAGTATGATTTCAGATTCCACTTTGCAACTAGCCTTTAAAAGAAACTAATAATTAACGGTGTCAAAGAATATTCACAATTATCTGTAAGAGCCAGTGCTTTGTACCTACATATTTGTAGGAGCCTGGATTTCCTTCATATACTTCAGCCAAATCAACATATTAAAACAGACTGAAAGCAGATATAGATTTGTATCCAGCTATCTTAGCTGTCTTAACATTTTAAGCGAAATATTAAAGAGATTTTTGAAAATATAAGACAATAACACCCTTTCCACTGATATTTTTAAGCTTGGAAAATACAGTTATTTTTCATTAAAAAAGTGTTTTTGTGTTAGATATTATGGGCTTATTATGTTTAAATGAATAAACATTTTCAAAATTCATTTTAATTTCTGTTTCATTTCACTGATAGTAAATATTAATTGATATAACTCACATAAACAAAAGCTCTTTGGGGTTCTTAATAATTTCTTAAGATTGCAAAGGGATCTGGAAACAAGAAAGTTTGGGAACTACTATGATAGAGATTTGAGTATCTATACTGTATTTTCATGCATACTTATCTGTGACCCTGAATTTTTTTTTTTTTTAAGAGACAGAGTCTCACTATGTTGCCCAGGCTGGATTTGAGTTCCTAGGCTCAAGCGATTCTTCCACCTCAGCCTCCTGAGTAGCTGGGACTGTTGGTGTGTGCCACTACACCCAGCTTGATTCTGAATTTTTAATAAAATTTTGTACTTAGACCAATGTGCCCAGTTTTTAAATCCATTTCAACCACAAAAAAATGTAAGAAAAGAGAACCAAAGCTTTCAATTCCTAAGAAAATGTGTTTTAGTGTTTAAACAAGTTACCTGTATTCATAGGAGTTTGAAAGGATGGTGGTGCACTCTCGCTTACATTTCTTTTGGACTCCAGCATCTGTCTCACTGTGCCTGCATTTCTATGAAATATATATACACACAAATAGTCAGTGGTATGCCACTCTGGGGGACACCAATTGATGTATAAATTGATATATAGAAAAGGCAGTGGCACAAAGGGAAAAGGGGTAGATAGACGTGGGTTTTGCAACCCTAAATTGCAAGCAAATGCACTGAGGCATAGCTGGCACACAGACTTCTAAAGGCTGGGGTCTATGGCATTAGCAAAGAGCCCTCTTCTTGTATTCTAATAACAATACTTACCTTGAAGACCAAACTTAGGCCCTAATATATACAGACATTAGTCCTTCTCACCCCTAACAGAAGCATTTCTCCATTATTTGAGAGAATATTATTTACAACAAGTGGTTAAAACCTATGTAGTGACCAAAGAAAGCCTTACAATAAAGAAGCAAAAGTAATATCCGTAGATGAATAGCATAACAAAGCAGGAAATATACTTAAGTATATCAAACACTTATCTCTACATAAATACATATGATTACATTGCAAGATTCTTCTATAAAATAAAGAAAATCAGAACTCTGTTCTGCTATTTAAAAACCAGACAAACAGACCATTTATAATTCTCACCTGTAAGGCATAGTATTATTGCTGTTGACATCATTTACAGACTTTCCTGGTGATAGAGGTGGGTTTGGTGGATTCTGGGGGGAAAAACATCAAAGTAAAAATAAAACTGAACATACAAGGAATCTTAAAAAAATATAAAACACCTTTAAATGCTTTGTCAATATATGATCTGTTACTTTTATAATATAGTAGAAAACATTACTAGCTGAGACAAGAATTTGAATCTTGGCATTGCCACTGGTTAGTTGTATCTCAAGCAAATAATTTACTCTGCTGAAAGCAACTGCTTATGATTTGAAAGATGAATAAAATAATTCCTACATCTCAGTGTTCTTGTAAAGATTAAATAAGATAAAGAATGTGAAAATGGCTCACATGGCTCAATAAACATTAACAATATATTAATAAATCTAGAGAATAATTAGACTCATTCATTCAATAAATAGCTAGTGAATGCCTACTATTTGGCAGGCATAACAAGCATGCTAGCACCAGAAATCCAACAAACAAGGTAAGTGGTGTCCAAGGTCACAAATCAAAATTCTCAATCAAAATAATTTGTAAGATTTTATTCGCAAACATAATACTTGCCACTATGTGACTTAAATAATTTCATAAAAAGATGTCAAAATTCTAAGCTTCAGTAACAACTTATTTCACCCTTTTCCCCAAAACCAAGTAATACAGAAAGGGAATTCTTAACATGCATGTATTAATTACCATTATTTAGGCCTCCATCACTAATAACACTAGAATCATTTATTTCTTACAATGATAAGAATAAATAACATAACTCTACTTAAGATTAAATCAAGTGTAAGAATGACACATATTAAACCAAAAGTGGTTAGTGCTTAGAATTATATCGAGCAGATGCCCCTGATCACTTTGGATGCCTAGTGGGCCTCAGAGAACAAAGGCAAGACCCTGAGCTTGCTACAGCACCAGAGAAATTGCAGTAATACAGACAAGACAGCACGGGGAGTGCAAAAAAAACCCTGTTTGCTAAAACATCAAAGGCTGCAATACCAAAGATAGGCACTAGGGGGAGCTCCAGAGTAAACCCAGGCAAACCTCTTCAGATGGGAAATTGTAACACAAGCAAAAGTCCAAAGAGGACACACCTCCAAAATAAGGTTTTAGAAGCCCACAGAATCTCTAGCCAGGATTATTAGTGAAGATCTTTCTGTGTACAAAGACAGTGTAAAGAGACTGGGAGAAAGGGCTTGTTTTTTTCAAATGGTCAAATTTCAACAAAAGATAACAAGGCATACAAAAAAAAAGGGAAACATGACCCAATCAGAGAGATAAATCTCTAGAAATCAATCATAAAGAAACAGAGATCTATGAATTATCCACCACAGAATTCAAAATAACTGTCATTAAAATGCTCAATGAGGTAAAAAAGAACACAGATAGAAAACTAAGTAGAGCTGGGTATGGTGGCTCACGCCTGTAATCCTAGCACTTCGGGAGGCTGAGGCAGGAAGATTGCTTGAGTCAGGAGGCTGAGGTTGCAGTGAGCTATGATGACACCACTGCACTCTAACCCAGGCAATATAGCAAGACCCTGTCTCAAAAAAAAAAGAAAGAAAGAAAAAAGAAACTAGTGAAATAAGAAATCAGGAAAATGGTACATCAATAAAATGAGAATATCAACAAAGATACAGAAATTATAAAAAAGAATCAAATACAAATTCTGAAGCTAAAGAATACAACAGAAATAAAAATTCTCTGTAGGGGATTAAAAGCAGGCTGGATCAAGGACAAGAATAAGTCAGCAATTCTGAAGACAGGTCACTTGAAATTATCCAGCCACCAGAGGAACAAAAAGAAAAAAGAATGAAGAAAAGCAAAGAAAGCTTAAAGGACTTCTGGGACACCAATAGGCCAACCAATATATATGCATGAGGGAAGACAGAGCAAGGAGCCCATTTATAGAAATAATTGCTGACTCCTACCAAATTGGAAGGAGGAGATTAAAAAAACAAATTAAAGAAGCTCAAATAACTCTATCACTAACCATAAAATACCTACACTAAGATACATTATAATCAAGCTGTCAGCGTTACAGTTAAATAATCTTAAAAGCAGCAAGAGAAAAGTGATTTATAACATACAAGGAGTTCCCATAACATTATGAGCAGATTTCTCATCAGAAACCTTGCAGGCCTGAAGGAATGGGATGATATATTCAAAGTGCTTAATGAAAGAACTGACAATCAAGAATACTATATCCAGCAATACTGTCCCTCAAACATGAAGGAGAAATTAAGGCTTTCCCAGAGACAGAAAAGATGAAAGAGTTCATCACCACTAGACCAGTCCTATAAGAAGTGCTAAATGAAGTCATTCAAGTATAAATGAAAGCACACTACACAATAACATGACTATACAAAAATGTAAACCTCTCTAGTAAAGGTTAATACAGAGACAAATACAGAATCCTGAATTCTTGTTATATTAGTGCATAAATCACTTTTAATTCTGGTACAGAATTTAAAAGACAAAAGCATTAAAAATAACTATTAAAATATGTTAATGAATATACAATATAAAAATGTGGTATGTAGTATCAATAACATCAAGTTGTGGTAAGAGAGATATAAAGGAGTAGAGCTCTGATATGTGATTAAAGTTAAGTTATTAACAGATTAAAACAAATATCAATATATCTATATTTATACAGTTATAACTTCAAGATGTAAAGGGATCAAGAGAGGAACAAAATAACAAAAGAGAAGCCAAAATCAAAATAGTAAGTCCCTTCCAATTAGTAATTATTTTAAATGCAAATGGATGAAACTATCCAATCAAAACATAGATTAGCTTAATGTACCAAAAAAACCAAGATCCAACCATATGCTGTCTATAAGGGACTCACTTTAGATTAAAGACAGAATGAAAGGGAAAGGATGGAAAAGATATTTCCAGCAACTGGTAATGAAGAGAGTAAGGGTGACCATATTCATGTAAGACAAAACAGACTTTAAGTCAAAAACTACATTGTCTAAAGAGACAATGAAGGACATTACATAATGATAAAAGAGTCAATTCACTAAACGTAATAATTATAAATATATATACACCTAACATCAGAGCCTTCAATGTGAAGCAAATATTGAAACTGAAGGGAGAAATAGACAGCAACAAAATAACTTTTTTGTGATTCGGTCTTGGTAGGTTGTATGTTTTTTAGGAATTTTATCTATTTCTTCCTCTTAAAATTTTTTTTGGTGGTTTTTTGTGTGTTTTGTTTTGTTTTGTTTACAAGACAGAGTCTCACTCTGTTGCCCAAGCTGGAGTGCAGTGGCATTGTGATAGCTCACTGCAACCTCAAACTCCTGGACTCCAGTAGAAACTTCGATATACCACTTTCAGTAATGAATAGAACACCAGACAGACGATCAGTAAGGAAACAGGACTTGAACACTGTAGAACAATTGGACCTAACAGACATATATAATACTCTGTCAACAGCAGAATACACATTCTTCTCAAGTGCACATGAGACAGTCATGGATAGATCATATGTCACAAGTCTTAACAAATTTAGGAAAAATAAAATCATATCAAATATCTTTTCTGACCATAATAAAGTGAAACTTGAAATCAACAAAAGGAAAACAGGAAAAGTCACAAATATGTGGAAATTAAATAATACGCTCTTTTAAAAAATCAATGAGTTATAGGGGAAATTCCACAAGGGAAATTACAAAATATCTTCAGATAAATGAAAATGAAAATATAATATACCAAAACTTAAGCAGTGTAAGCAATGTAAAAGGGAAGTTTATAATAAACACCTTATAAAAAGAAAGATTTCAAGGCCGGGTGCGGTGGCTCACGCCTGTAATCCTAGCACTCTGAGAGACCGAGGCGGGCGGATTGTTTGAGCTCAGGAGTTCGAGACCAGCCTGAGCAAGAGCGAGACCCCGTCTCTACTAAAAATAGAAAGAAATTAATTGGACAACTAAAAATATATAGAAAAAATTAGCCGGGCATGGTGGCACATGCCTGTAGTCCCAGCTACTCGGGAGGCTGAGGCAGGAGGATCGCTTGAGCCCAGGAGTTTGAGGTTGCTGTGAGCTAGGCTGACGCCATGGCACTCTAGCCTGGGCAAAAGAGTGAGACTCTGTCTCAAAAAAAAAAAAAAAAAAAAAGATTTCAAATCAATAATCTAACTTTATGCCTCAACCAGAAAAAAAACAAACTAAACCAGAAGTCAGAAGGAGGAAAGAAAGAATGAAGGGCAGAAAAAAATAAAATAGAGAATAGAAAAATAGAAAAAAAATCAACAAAACTAAGAGTTGGTTTTGAAAAGATCAACAAAATTAACAAACCCTTTAGCTAGACTTAAAAAAGCCAGAGAGCTGACTGAAATAAAGAAAATAAGAAATGAAAAAGAAGACATTAGACTGATGCCACAGAAATGGAAAGGATTATACAAAAGTACAGAACAACTATAAGCCAGCAAATTGGATAACTTATAGAAGAAATAGGCTGGGTGCAGTGGCTCACACCTATAATACGCTTAGCACTTTGGGAGACTGAGGCAGGAGGATCGCTTGAGGCCAGGAATTCAAAACCAGCCTCAGCAACATAGTGAGACCCCATCTCTACCAAAAAAAAAAAAAAAAAAATTTAAAACTTAGCTGGGTGTGATGGCATGCACCTGCAATCCCAGCTACTCAGGAGGCTTGAGCCCCGGAGTTTAAGGTTGCAGTGAGCTTTCATGATGCCACTGCACACCAGCTTGGGCAACAGAGTGAGACTCTGTCTCAAAAAAAAAAATTTTTTAAAAACAAGAAATAGATAAAATTCCTAAAAACATACACCTACCAAGATTGAATCACAAAGGAAAAAAAAGGAAAAAATCTATAACTAATAAAGAGGTTTAATTAGTAACAAAAACCTCCTAACAAACAAAAGCCCAGGACCAGATGGCTTCACTGGAAAATCCTACCAAATAAATAAGGGAATAATTAACAAACATTCTCCTCAAACTCTTCTAAGAGAGGGAATACTTCCAAACTCAGTAGGCAATCATTACCCTGACACCAACGCCAGACAAAGACATTAAAAGAAAACTATAAACCAATATCCCTGATACACATTGATGTAAAAATCCTCAAGAAAACATTCGCAAGCCAAGTTCAAAAGCATGTTTAAAAGATTACATATCACAACCAAGTGGGTTTATCCATGGAATGCAAGGATGGTCTGACATGAAAATCAACATAACAATAAGATGTTAAAAGAATGAAGGACAAAACCCACATGATCACCTACCTCAATTGATGCGGAAAAAGGATTTGACAAAATTCAACAACTTTTCATGATAAAAACACTCATCAAACAAGAAATGGAAAGAAACTAAGTCAATTTAATAAAGGCCATGAATGAAAAACCCATAGTTAACACCATATTCAATGGCGAAAACTGAAAGCTTTCTCTCTAAGATCAGGAACAAAAGCAAGCATGGTCATTCTTGCCGCTTCTATTCAATACAGTATTGGAAGTTCAAGCCAGAACAATCATGCAACAAAAATAAAAGGCATCCAAATCAGAAATGAAGAAGTATAATTATCACTGTTCACAGATGATATTATCCGAGATGGAAAAAACCCTAAAGATTCCAAAAAAAAAAAAAAAAAATCTGTTCAAATTAATAAGCAAATTAAGCAAAGTTGCATGATAAAAAAATCAGCCTGCAAAAATCAGTTGCATTATCTATACACTAGCAATGAACAATATGAAAAAGAAATTAAGAAAACAATTCAATTTACAATAGCAGCAAAAAGAATAAAATATTTAGGAATAAGCTTAACCAAAGAGGAAAAAAATTGTACAATTCAAACTACAAAACATTGCTGGAAAAAATTTAAGGACATAAATAAATGGAAAGATATCCTATAGTTTATGGATTAGAAGACAATACTGTTAAAGTATTTATATTACCCAAAACAATCTGCAGATTCAATGCATTCCCTATCAATATCCCAATGGTATTATTTCTTTTGAAGAAATAGAAAAAAATTACAAAATTCATATAGAATCTCACGGGATCCTGAATTGCCAAAACAATCTTTATTTATAAAGAAAAACAAAGTCAGAGGTTCTTACTTCCTGGTCTCAAAATATATTATAAAGCTACAATAATCCAAACAGTGCGGTGCTGGCATAAAGACAAATAAACCAATGGAACAGAATAGAGACCCCAGAAATAAACTCACATATATGGTCAAACGATCTTCAGCAAGATTGCCAGGACCAAACGATAGGAAAAGAACAGCCTCTTTGATAAACGGTACTGGGAAAACTGGATATATACATGAAAAAGAATGAAATTCTTCATCATATGTAAAAATTAACTCAAAATTGATTAAAGATCTAAACATAAGAAATAAAATTAAAATTCTGTAAGGAAACATAGGAAAAAGGCCTCGTGAGATTAGATTTGGCAATAATTTTTTTGTGTATGACATTAACAGCACAGGCAGCAAAAGCAAAAATACACAAATGGGTCTATATCAAACTTAACAACTTCTGTACATCATAGTAAACATGCCCACAGAATGAGAAAAACTAATCACAAATCACATATCTGATGAGGGGTTAATATCCAGAATATATAAAAAACACCCACAACTTAACAACACCAAAAACTAAGTAGCCTGATTAAAATGGTCAAGGAACCAGAACTGACATTTCTCCAAAGACAAATGGCCAAAACAAGCATATGAAAAGATGGTCGACATCACTAATCATTAGGTAAATGTAAATCAAAACCACAAGATGTCGCCTCACATCCGTTAGGATGGTCACTATCAAAAGAACAGAAAATAAGTGCTGACAAGGATGTAGAGAAATTGGAACCCTTGAGCACTGCTGGTATGAATGGAAAATAGTGCAGCCTCTATGGAAAACAGTATGAGGGCTTCCTCAAATAGCTAAAGGCAGAATTACCATACAATCCAGTAATCCCTCTTCTGGGTATACATTCAAAAATAATTGAAAACAGGTTCTTGAAGAGGTATCTGCACACCCATATTCACTGTGTTATTCAAAATGGCCAAAAAAGGACAGCAGCCCAAATGTTCACTGACAGATAAAAGATGAAAAAGTTCTAGAGATCTGTTATACATAATGCGAATATAGTCAATGCTACTTAACTAACTGTATGCTTAAAAATGTTTAATAAGGTAAATTTTATGTTATGTGTTTTCACAATTAAAGACAAAAAGAATTCTTAAAATTAAAAACTATAGTGTACAATTTAGATATAATCCAAAATTTAACTGGGAATCAATTAAGTGATTTTCACCAATATAGAACAAGTATAAAAAATGTCTTGACTATTATTTTATAGAAAGAACTAGAAAGGATGAAAGGCAGTGATAATAGTCATCAGTCAGTATAACAGATTAGATTATGAATGTGGTCTTAGTAGCAATCAGCCTATGAGGGTTTTCTGTTCTTATAGAAATTAAAATAGAAAATATTTTAGGACAAGTCTGAATGGTAGGGTTTGTTTTAACTGGTTAATAGAGGACCAAGGAGCAAATCTAAATAAAAGAAAAGCACCTAAGTCATCCTGGTTTGGTTGTTTGTTTTTATGAGGGGGAGAACTAAAGAGCTAAACATTCTATATCCTTCCTATTTTTAAAACCTAAAAAGAAACAAGTGTAAAATTATAGTGAATACTATAATTAGAGGGCAAAGAGTTCAGACAAAATAAAGAATTTAAATCATCATAACCAAACATGAGGCAGTGCGATAACTGACAATTAAAATGATTATACATAATCAAGTATACTTTAAAAAATCGGCAGGAGTGCATTCCATGCATATAAGTCACCTTCATAGGAATTAGAAATGAAAGAAAAAAATTCTTGGACTTTCTAAAAATCTGACTGGAAAGGAGAAAAATATTAACAAGAATAGGTAGAAAGATGGCACTAACCACAAGCTAATAAAGAAAGGCACAAAATTTGAAAGATTCAAGACCACTTTAACATTTTTCTTCAAGTACCACACACCATAACTGATCAAGTTAATCATTTCCAATCTTAAGGAATTATAATATATATAGTATTTGTTCCTTGTTTCAATACTACTTCTAGTTCTTCAAAATGGAAACTCTTCAGGTACCGCAATACTTTCATCTTTATTCCTTAGAGTGTCTGCCTAATAGACAAGAAGAATTGGAAAGTAGTTTCGAGAACAAATTTGACATGCACTAAAACTGAAAAGTACACAGTGGGCTGCACACTGCTTCGTTCTGACAGGAATGAAAGGAAAAAAGTGGAAATTCATACTGTACAAAACAAATGGAAAAGTTTCAAAGACAAACGTTTGGTCAGACATACCAAAATTAGATTTTCTTAAATAAAAGGTTTACACCTATATTCTAATATAAAAAATAAAATAGCTCAGCTTTTACATTATAACAAAGAAACAAAACTAAGAAATGGAGCTTAGAAATGGACAGTTAATTACATCATTTAAGGAGACTATAATGAAAAAAATCTTTGAGTCTGACCAAATAAAAGTTTGATGAGATTAGTCTTTACAGAACAAAGACAAAAACCAACTATCAGTTGGCTTAAGAAAAGAAGTCGAAGCTTAAAAAGTTAAGTAAAAAAAAAAAAAAAAAAAAATAGAGATAGAGAACAGATTAGTGAGGGTAAAACCACAAAAGAGTAACACGAGGGGGTCCATTTATGGTGACAAAACAGTTCTATCTCTTAACTATGGTGGGAGGGGGCTACATAAATCTATACACATGATCAAATTGCATGGAACCAGACACATGCACACACACAATGAATTCATATAAAAACTGGTGAAAACTGATAAGGACTATAAACTACTTAACAAATTTATATCAAGTTTTTGGTTTTGATATTGTACTACAGTGATACAAGACTTAACCATTGAGAAAAATTAGGTAAAGAGTTTATAGGATTATGTCTAAGTACAATTGTTGCAACTTCCTGTGAGTCTATAATTACTTTAAACTAAAATTTCTTTTAAGAACTAAAGAAGATATGAAAATACATCAATATGGAAAAATCTCTAGGAATAACTATTGAAATTATTATTGTTATTGGCAATTACTATGTACCAGACAATGGAGCTAAAAAAACAAAGAAATGTAACTTCTTCAAAAAAATTTGAGAGGAAAAGCAAAGAAATCCAACTAAAAACTATAATGCAACATACAAGTGCTATGTTAAAAAATGAATGAAAATAAAAAAAAAATAGAGGAATAAGAAGATAATAAATAAATAAAGGAAACAACAAAAAAACCAAAGCCAATTTGTTAAAAGAGGGTAATTTATTCTGTGATCTTTAGACTTAATTCTATATACTAAAAAACATTTGCAGTATTTAAGGCAATAAAGTGACTTAATCTAATCCCCATATATTACAATTAGAACATAACAGAGGACTGACTACACAGGGAACAAAAGAGGCTAAGTATAGGAATATTACAAGCTGTGGAATACCAAAATACCTTGAGGAAAATAAGAGACTAGACTAGGAAAACTGGCAAAAATTTAAAAGAAACAAGGTAAAACAAATTCCAAAAACATAATTTTAAAGATGGATAGAAAATACAGCTTCGAGAATACCATAACATAAAATAACTAATATAAATGTTGCAATGTGAGAATAGTAAGTGAGGATTAGAAAAGGATTAATTAGTTCTAGAGCTGCAGATCCAGAAATAACATACAGGAGTACATAGTATAAAAGCAAACTTAAGACTTGTAATAAGAAAGAGTTTTCTTCTAATCCAGCACTTCCTAAGATTACCACATAGAGCTAAATATTAATTATGCAAGAATAGAAATTCTTACTTCTTGTCTTTTCTTAAGATCTTCTTTGGCTGCTCCAAACCGTTTGGTTAACCTGGCTATCTTGGCCTGAAAAAAATAAAAAAAGAAAGAAATGGAAATTAAAGTGTCAATATAACATTAAAAAATAACCCATGCACACATAACAAGAAATCCACAGATAACAGGATCCTCAGAAGATGTAAGAGTACAGAAAATAAGGTAAGCTGATTATAAAATATATACTTGGAAAATACAGAAAATCTTAATGAAAACTGAAGTGGCCCCTGAACTCAATACCCAGATGTAAACACTCTTAACTAGGTTAGCTGGTTTCCTCCTAGAACTGTGGGCATTGCTCATATATCGGTACATTCCCGAGCTTGTGTTTTGTGTTATTTTTTAAAATAGCTGGAACCACACATCATTTTCTCGCTGAAATTATAAAGTGGGTAGATCTGCAAGTCATAAAGGCTGCCTTGCAAATACTACTTATGGATGTAGGCACAGGCCTTTTACTAACTGTAATATTTTCAATAGCAGTGCAGAGGCATGCTCATATATTACTTTTTGAAATACTTAATTCCATATTCTGTTAATTTCTAACAATCTGATAAAAACGTTAACCTGATGGTATCAACATTTGTCACTGAAATTATTAATCATTTGTACTGCTTATATAAAGTGCCTGATCACGTATTTTGCCCAAATATACATTCAAAGGAAAATTGAAAATAAAAAGAATTATTATCACATCATCACATGAATATTTGGTTGTATTTCCTTTCAGTCTTTTACTAAGGTATAATGTGATATTCAATTGCTTCAGTTGTTATTGCTGTAGTTACCATTTTAAATTAAATATATTTTCAAGAATATTAAAGTAAACTTTTCAGTATGTTCATAGGCCTGCCTAACAAAGAACTCTGCCACAGAATTTCTTTTATTCAATATAAAGGTATTCATTTCACAAAAATAAGAAAAACATATCACCTACTTTTAAAGTTTCTTTCAGAAATCAGTCACTTCTAAAGGAGACCTCAGATCTTATAATGTATGTTAAGTCCAATAATATGGCCTAGGCAATCAGTCACCTATGACTCCCAAAGATGAAGATTTTCCTCAGGACTTAATTATTTATGCATATCTTTGTTTTTTCACTTTTTGTTCTTTTATTTGTTTTATATTTATACATATCTTTAAAGGCCAAGGACATATAGCATAATTTCATATTCCTGAATATGGGTTTACCTTTCTGGTAACTAAAATATTTCAAATAATTTTTTTAAAAAAGGTATATGGGAAGGTATTTTCTGTGTCCCAACTTACACAAGAATGCCTTTCTTATTTTCTTTAGTCAGATTATCTAGGTATCTATAAACTGTATAGTATGTATAGTATCATTATTATTCTATTATTATTTAAAAGTGAAAATAAAAAAATCATTTTGTATATGTTAAGTATATGGAAAAAGGTCTAGAAAGACACATTCCAAAGTTAAAAGTGATTACCTCTGGAGGCCAAGATTGACAGGAAGTGGGGGAGAAGGTAAACAGAAGAACTTTGCTTTCACGTCATATACATTTGTAGTATTCAAATTTTTTAAAGGAATTATCACTTAAAAAACTAAACCAGTAGCAAAAAACTAAACTCAAAATGTGGACATTAACTTACTGTCTTCTGACATTTAATATTATAAAAAAGAAATCAAAGAGCAGCCTTTTTTTAGTTTTACATAGGAAACTGTACAATTTTTATTATTATAATTCAAAATATCTACCATAATGTGTCGAAGAATAGGTCTCTAGTTTGGCAAGTATTCTGTGAGACTTTTTAAAAACGCATAAACGTGTCTTTTTTTAAGTTCAGAAAACTAATATTCTATTTTGCCTTTGATTACTACTTCTATTTCTTTTATTCTTGGTTTCTTCCTTAGGTATACATATAATTTCTTATGTAATGGAACAACGGAGCTGTTTAAATATAAGTCACATAAATTGTTGGGAATCAGACACATTGGGCCTTGTTTAGCAAAATGGATAAACCAAGAATTTTTTTTCATGTGTACCGAGAAATCTCCTAGGAAATAACTGTCTAAAACAAGTTAATCTTGCATCAAGTTTGGCCTAATAACAAAATATCAGTACCCAAAAAAATAAGTGAATAAACTGACACACGTTATCTATTATTCAAAACTATCTTCTGCAGTAGGCTGCTATAGATTTACTTCATTGGTGGGAAGGATAAGTAGAGAGACTGAAAGAAAAAGTATAATAGCTATTGTCAGTTAAAACTACTTACAATTGCATTTTCTAAGTCACAAACAATGGAATATTATATTCTAAGGTGTGTTCACAGCTTTTCTATTTCCTTAAAAAAATCCAGTTGAAATTTTAAGTATTCTGAATTTGTATAGTGATTTGAAAAGAATCAAGTCCTCCTGTCTAGGAACATGGTATGTCATTGGTGACTCATGTTTTCTTTTTTTGTCCCTTTTTCTTCAAAAGTGTCTTAAAAATTTCTTTTTAGGTTTATTCTTAAGTACTGACTTACTTTTAAATAACTACCATATGTGAAGAAACCTTTTTCTCATTATATTTTCTAATCCGTTGTTGATGTATAAGAAAGCTACTAGAGTATGTTGTTCTTATATGAGGCAGTTGGTAAATTTCCTTCTTCATTCAGCAGTTTGCCAAGTTAATTCTATTGGGTTCTCATTTACCAATCATTACTCATTTTTTTTTCTGTCTCATCGTATTGCCCAAGACTGCCACCAATGTTCTAAACAGCAGCATTTATTAATAGGCATTGTCTGAGTCTCAACTTTACTGGAAATATTTGCAATGACCCACTATTAAATATGATATTTACAACTGGTTTCTGATAGCTACCCTTTATAAGGTTCAAGGCATTTCCCTCCTATTTTTTCCATGAATGGCTGGTGAATTCTAACAAATCCTTACTTGGCATCTATTAAGGCAATCACACTATTTCTCACCTTCTCTCTGTTAGCATAGTCAAATATAATTGTTAATACTGAACCAGCCTTACATTCATGAGAGAAATCCATGTTCAGGAGTAAAACTGGACTGTTTTCTTCTTGTGCTACAGAACTTCACAGTTAAGCTTGCTTCATAAAATGAGGCCTCGACTTTCTCAATACTCTGGACCAATATATATGAGATGTGAATTGTCTGTTCCTCACAGATTTGTCAAAATTTTCTGCCAAAGCTTTCTGGGCCCAATGACTTCTTCGGAAATAGATCTTTGACAACAGTTTTAATAGAAGCACTCAAAATTTTAGGGTTTCTACTTCCTTTTTAGATAAAATAGATTTCATTGGTATAAGGTTGTAACATAAAAATATTCTTAAAGAATCTCCTCTGGATCTTTACTTGTCTCCTTTTCCAATCCTTGTGTAGTTTATTTGTACTTGTTTCTAGGTGAAAGATTTATTGAACCAAGTGAACAATTTGTCTCAAATGTATTCAATTGAAGAATTTGTCCCTGGTACAAACAGTACTAAAACATGAAAGTCAAAATATTACATTAGTTAACAGAAAACTGTTCTGATATATACAATAAAAGAGAAATGAAAGCATTAATTTCAAATTGATAATGTCACATAAATTCAGTCAAATATAAGTCTAATATATCTCAATGAACTCCTCTCATGGTCTGACACTTTGCTTTACATTTGTTCCCATAGGACTGGATGTCCTGAATATTATTATACACAGTCCCTCAGAGTGAATGGTAGAATCAGGCTGAACTACATGTTGCAAAATAGGCAGCAAAGTTTGGGCAGAACGGTTGCCAACAATTTCCAAATAACCAATAGCTGTACAATGGTTAGTATCTATAATACCAAAAGCCCATATTTCCCTATTCAGAGCATGACCATAATGATACTTGATTTTGTGGCTAAAACAGGACTCGTCAATTTACAAGTAATGACCTGGACCACCAAGCTGTAAGGGATGCAGTTCAAAGAAATGCTTGCATGCTTGACAACAGAAATTATAGATGTCGACTGTAGTATGGGCTGAAATTACAGTAACAGCAGTAGTCGCTTTCTCTGTGACTTTCATAGACCATAAGAATAGAAGATGAAGCCACATGTTAATGGAAATTTGAAATTTTTGAAAAAAGTTCCCTTTCAGAAGGAGATCCATGATGACTGGGAACCCATTTCTACAAATAGCTGTCTTTGCATTGGCATTGTACCATCCACTGAAAGAGTTGGTGACATGAGGAACACTTAGGAGCCGTCAATAGCAAAATACACTGCTTCAAGAAGGAAGCTAGGAAACCTTGGTAAATGCCAGACCTATACCTCTCCTCATCCCATCCCTCCAAATTACTGGGGCTGTATCTTTAAGGTGGAGGCTTGGGTACCTGGAATAGAATCGTAAGTTCCTGGTCAATGGAAAGTGGTACAACGTTCAAATTCTAGAGTTTCACACACTGAAGCTGAAATTCTGATTTCCCCACTTATTAATGGAAATCAATGGCCAGAATTTTTGAAATGTTGACAATAATAGGCTGCAGTATATCTTGAAATAAACTATCCATTGGGAGAGGTGAAATGGAAATTTTCTCAAAAATAAAACCACTAAAAAAAAAATAAGTAAAATTTAAATTGGACCCACAGGGGTTGATCACAATTGAGGAAATGATCTGTAAGGCCCTCAGAACACACAAGGGCAAACAGTTTAACTGAAGACTTTTACCTGCAGGGACAAACTGTTCAATTGATCTGATTTATCTACCTTTAATCTTCTCACAAAATAATAAGCTGTTGCCTTATTCTTCAAAAAGGGTTTCGTTTTTGTTATTTTTACTAATTCCTTCCATATGCTTGAGGTTTAGTTTGTTATTACTGTTTTACCCTAGAATAGGAGATGAACACATAATGTTTCTCTACCTTTTCTGCTTGTGAATAATGAATTTAAGGTTATAAATTTCCCTTTGAATACTGCTTTAGCTTTAACCTATAGGTTTTGCAATTCTTTATGCCATTTTATATGCCATTCTTTAATTATAGTTCTAGTCTAAAGAGTTGAGAATTTCCATTTTATTTCTTCTTT